AAAACCAAAAAAAAAAAAAAAAAAAGAAAAAAAAATGAAAAAAGAAGTTAGGGAAGAAAACAATGTAGGAAGAGAAGAGAAGAGAGGAGAGGTATTTTTCGGACAAGTCGAATAAGGCACTATCTAACCAGGTAACGGAGCTTCCTCGTAAAAATCTGGTTCATCCTCGGTACTCTCGTGTTCCGATCCTTTGCTATCGAGTGCCCGTAGCTCTGCCGCAGTAAAAAAGTGGTTCATCTGACCTCGTAAGGGTATCATAAGAATCAGGAAGAACGGAAGTGCCAAGGCTGCCCTGGTACTTTTCACAATCCACAGTATAGCCAGGCACAAAATTTGTATGAGGGTGAAGATGTGCATTTTGTATGTTTGTACACGTCGTACGTAATTAGCCGTGCCATGGTGTTTCACTGGCATGAAAAACAGCTTCACACGATCGAACAGTTGGACGCCGTTCGTTGAAGAGATACCCATGTAGAGAAACACCCCCAAAAGGACGGACATTGGTACGCGTCGTAAAAGTGGCGCCATTAACACACTTACGCCAATCAACACGGCAACTAATAGAGCGCTCACTCTCTGCTCCTTCACTTCGACAATGTGCGGTTTATCTCCAGGTGCATGAGTACGAGACATAACTGTCACCGCCGAGACGTGTGTTAATGATCGAACGGAGGCGGCGCAACACCAAGGAGCGCCCATTAAACCACAACCGACATTCATTAAACACACTACTACTATATCCATGTGATAGCCGTTACCTTTTCGTAATTTTCGTTCTTTTTTATCGATGATTAGCCTACAAACAAATTATTATTTTATACAAAATAAGAAATAAGAATTGTATTAACAAAAATTGATAATCATTTAAAATAGGAATCATCTATAATACAATTATCATTTTGAACAACTTTTTGCTATATGTACCGTTGCTATATATATGTATTGATTTAAATGAGATAAATAATTTAGCTTGGATATGAATTGTGTAATGAGTTGTGTTAAAATCATGCTTAAGAAATAGTTTCGAGTTAAGTTTGAATTAAATTTTGATTAGTTTATTTTATAAAAATATTTTTTCATGCAATATAATATTTATCTATTAATTTAAACTATTATGAAAGTTTAAGTTTAGTTAATGAAAATTAATGAATATTTTAAAAATATCAAAATCATAAAATAGTTCCTATTCTAAATAATTAATTAAATTTTTTTGCAAAGCAAGCAAAGAAAAGATGATATTTACTCAGAGATTTGAGTTTCCATAAAAACAAGAATATAAACCAGCAACGCTGGCACGATGCAAGCCATAGCCATCCATAGAGGAATAGGTTTATGCACTCCAGCGGGTGATACGATCCAGTTTCTACCAGGTAGAGTCGGGGTTAAACCTTCTGGGACCAATAATTTCTCCGTTTTTACTTTAGCCAGATAATCGATCAACGCAAATACAACAATACTGATGGGCACGCCAAAATCACCAAAGGCTCTTCTGGCACTTCGTCCGAGGTAATGACTGTTGCGGAAAATACGCAAATAATAAGCACCGAGAAAAGTACCAAGACACAAAATGGTACACATAAGGGCGGTGTTCGGTTGATTTATCAATATTCCAGCTGCATTATGCGCTGGTATCAAAGTTTGAGGTTCGTTCAATGGAATACCAATTGTCTCACCAGTCTTTGGGGAAACAATGTTGATCTCTGTAACATTTAATGGCTCTTCGTAAAATGTTTCATTCGTCTCAGGAATAAAACTATATTCATCAAGCAATGGATTTTTCACAAAATAATTGTACAGCTTGATAAACGTTTCAACGATATAAAGAATGGAAATTAAGCCTGTGAAAATTTCTTCGGTGAAACGTGTGAATAGTCTGACCAACACGGATCCCTCAACACAGGCGATTGCTAGAGCTATGATTCCCATCCATGCTCCGACGTAAACTCTCACGGTTAAGAATTCCAATTCATTCGCCAGGCAGAAGTTGTACAAACTTTCATCGAAGAGCAATAAAGGGCCAGTTGTACCAATGATGACCAAAGGTTGAGTGGAAAATAAAGCCATCACTACTCCAGTCCAGGAACCAGAAACTAGAGTCTCGGATATGCCGATAATGTTATGCGTTTTGTCGCTCATCAAGCCACCAAAAGTAATGGCTGTACAGAGGGCAGCAAAGTACATGAAAATGGCTGCCGCTAGACAAGATGAACTCAAACCATCGGTGAAATCGGAGAGATAGAAAGGGTAGCGCCTTTTGATATCATTGATAAGACCACCAAATGGACGTTTAGTTCTTCGAAGTGGATCATCGTCGTCGGGAGGTTTCTTTTCTTCTTCGCCAGCAAGAAGAGCTACGAAAATGAAATGTAATTACGTTATTATGTTCTTTTTTCCCTTGATATTTGTTTTTACTATATTATTATGCGTTGCCAAGAAGAAATCTTGCACAAGAATAAGGAAGACTAATTTCTAACATGATGCTTTGAAATTTTCCATCATCAAAAGATACTATATTTTCAGAATAATAGAAATGACTATTTTGATCAACTGTCAAGTGATTTTTAAAAAGTCGTTTCTAAACACTGAAATAAATATAGAAATTGATATGCAAAAATTTTAGTTTATAGATTCATCTATTATGTTATAAGAAATTTAATTTTGCACTAAAAATATTAATTTTCAGAATAATGAGTATTTTGATCAACTGTCAAGTGATTTTTAAAAAGTCGTTTCTAAACACTGAAATAAACATAGAAATTGATATGCAAAAATTTTAGTTTATAGATTCATCTATTATGTTATAAGAAATTTAATTTTGCACTAAAAATATTAATTTTCAGAATAATGAGTATTTTGATCAACTGTCAAGTGATTTTTAAAAAGTCGTTTCTAAACACTGAAATAAACATAGAAATTGATATGCAAAAATTTTAGTTTATAGATTCATCTATTATGTTATAAGAAATTTAATTTTGCACTAGAAATACTATATTTTCAGAATAATAGAAATGACTATTTTGATCAATTGTCAAATGATTTTCAAAGAGTT